CTTTATTTTTGTATTTGAATTCAGGAGCAATCTGTCTATCCGTACTGGCCTTCTAACATGGTTGCTTGACTTCCTGCATGTAAGAATAGGCAGTCTTGTGCTTTGAGGAGGTTGTCCTTGCTCATAGGCTTTCCCTTTACCTGCTAAGGTGTTTTTCCATGAGATTCTACTAAAAAGATCTCTGGACAAGCTGATTTCTGCTCTCCTGAAGTGCCATCACTAATTGTCCAATTTTTCTTTCTCACTTCTCTCAAAATTTCAGATTCTTATGGCTGCCCTCTATTTCCCAAATGTTTTTTATGCAAAGTGCAGAAGACTCGTCAGTCACTCACATCATGAAGTTACCATCAATGGAGTTCAGAAACCTGGGCTGCTTGTGCTCAGCTATTTTACTCCATCTGCAGGTACCAGGGTGGTTCTAGTTCCCAGTGAGTACCAGTGCCTATGATCATGAATCTTGTTCCAGCTTTTGAATGAAGGCTTCTTCTTCTTCCCCATCTTGATCAGGTCCATAGCAGGCATCTAGCACAATGTCACCCATGTTGGACCGTTCTCTGATCCCTGCCCATAAGGTCTTGACTGTCTCATTGCTTGTTCCCAGCAAAGCTCTGCGTGTTCCTGCCAGCACACTGCACTGTTTGAAATCCATGTTTTTTGTCTTCACAGCCTGGCTTTCCTCAAGAGCTTACATCCATCCATTGCAGCACTCCAGCCATGTGAGGTATCCCACTGTGATTTTGTAAATCCCTGTTAGATGCCACCAAGCAACCTCTGTTCTGTGGTTGATTTCAGACCCCAGACACTTGCTCTCTTATTCCTTTGGGGTTTGCAGTGCTGCTTGTTGGAGCTGCTGCCTTCTCATTCCTGCTCACCCCTTTTTTCAAAGGTCTGTTCCTTTTTCTTGTCTCCTCCATCATGTAAACGGTGGCATTAAATGCACTTTAGTCTCTTGTTGCGTTAGTTACATTGTAGTAAAGGAGCTGAGTACTCTAGCAGCCCTTGGATATATTCCTTGGCACCTGAGGCAGGCCATCGGGAAGGCCACTTGAAGCCTTAGCTCTGCACTACTTCAAGTTCTTAGGCAGAGATGTTTGCTTTCTGGATGCAGTGGTAGATGGAAGTGGTCCTCACATTGCTCGGCAGTCGGGTCTTGCATGGATGCCCTCTAGCCCTGAGGGGCGGTAATCCCAAGGATGCTTCTGCAGTCGTGGCTGAGGCTGGTGTGGGGACGTAGTGCTGCCTGCTGAGCAGCAGAGAGCCCAAGGATGTATGCCAGGTTCAGTCATTAACTAGCAGAAAGAGAATGGCCTTAAGTGTGGGGGATATACAAGGCAAAGAGAAAACTTGGAGGCCTGGGTCAGTATCGAAGGGATGTCCTCAAGACAGCAGGCACTGTGGTTATTGAGTTTTGGAGGAGAAAAGGGGGCAGGAAGGCATCGAGTAAAGGCCAGAGCAGGCAGAAGAAGGTCAGCTGCAACGCAGGGTGAAGATGTGATAGCCACCAAGCAAAGCCTGCTGGAAGAATGCTGCCATTCAAGGCTTACTGAAGAGATTTGGCCAAGCAAAATAGTTTCATGGAAATGTAGCAGTTTATGTCATGTGTTTCTATCACCTTTTTAAGTCCAATGATAAGTGCTGTAAAACCAAATGTATTATTTTGTGGAATTATGTCCACATTTTAGAGGAGAAGTATTGGTAATCGCCAGCAAGTCATGCTCAATCCTCAGTCACAGAACTATCAGTGTCACAGCGTGTGTTTGAGATGGTATGAATTTTGAGTGCTATTGTTATTTTGAATAACCAAAGAGTACCTCCAGTATATATTTTCCACTGCAATGAAAACTTGTAGAATGCTGTAAAGTTTATAAACTTTAAACTCACAATCAATGTATTGTCCTGTAATATATAGAAAACTAATACCAAGGAAACCTTTTTTGAACTACTATTCTGCATTTATACATAAACAAGTCAACATAAAAATAAAAGGTGCCAGTCTGTCTGATAAATGTGTGTTTTTTTCCCCTATTTTTTATTATCCTTACTGAAAGTGCCATAGAAATTTGTACAGAAACATAGTAGCCTCCTACAGAATTTGCTCCAAAATCATGTGTTAATATAATGAATAAAGCAGGAATTGCTCTTTCCTTAGAGCTGAAACATTCTCATATTGTGTCTGAGTAGAGTAACTGCTGTTGGGATTAAATGGGCTGGATTACTGGCCAAAAGATTTTCACTCTGTTTTTTTCCAAAAGGACCAGAACAGTTTGAGGTGAAATGACTCTGATTTTTTTGTACCACTGTAGATTTTTGTGGCAAAGAGTTCAATTTTATGACCTCAGCCTACAACAGTAAGAATGTATTTAACGTTCAGCTGCATGGCAATTCTCACTAGCAAGTAGTATCTTGGGTTCCCTGCTAGCTATTGAGAGCGGTGCTGTAAATTACAGCAAAGGATCCACTGAAATGGGTCAGCTGGGGCTGGCTCTGTGGTTCCCGTGTATGCTTTCCAGTGTGCTTTCAGTGCAATCTTCTGATGCTTCTGCAAGTTTCCATTCCATACAAGGGATGGTCAGTGCATTTCTCATCCAGCCCTGAAACTGTTGCCTTTTCCTGTAGATAACATGAAGCCATTGGGGTGCTGAATGCCGAGGGTGGCTCACGCCTTTCTCAAAGATGGTTATGAGTAGGTCAGGTACCTTCCCTGCTCGAGCTTCTGATAAAAATGTTTGACATAAATCCCTAAGGCAGGGCCTGGGTCTGCAGAGGGTGTTGGGTACAGGGTGTTGAAAAAAAGAACTGACTGCAGCAGAAATCAAGTGGTCAGCACTTCCCAGGGACAGGCCCTTGAGCTCTAGCATTTAAATGCCAAACAGGAGCTTTTCTCTTGTTGTTTCCACAAACCAGGGTGCAATCCTGCAGCATGAAGCACAGCCCAGAGTCACATCAGGAGGACATGTGAGTTGCATGTGTCTTCCCTTTGCCAGCGCAGGGTCCTGGTCCCAGCTAAGTACCATTTGTGTACATCTGCTCTGAACTTGACTTTCTTTCAGTGTTTGAGCCGAAAGCTTCCAGACCCATCCAGAACCACTTCATCTGCAGAGTGTTTCTCAATGCTGAAGTTGGGTTTACCAGATTTTATTTTATTTTTTGCTTGTAAGGACTTGTGTCACTTAACACAGAGCATTGCATTGCTATGAGGCAGCATGCTCCAGTGTGGAGGAAGGTTTCAGGCCACAGCATTGAGTGATACACCAGAGTTTTGTGACCATATAACCTCAGTCTCCAGTTTCTATACAGCAACTCCAATAGGGTTTAGAGGTCTGTTTTCTGGGCTTACAACTTCAGTACTTCTGATTGCAAACGTAATATTTTGCTACATCAAAGAGGATGTATTTCATGGTTATGGCCCACCTAGCACTCTCCTAAACATGCAGAGGGTATGTACGTATAAAGCAAAAACACATAACATGCAGTCTTACAGATGTAACCTTAAAAAAGGCAAATAAAGGGGTGGAGGGGTAGGAGAAAGATACAGATATGCTGGAGATCCAAGTTGGAACTTTTCCTGTAGAAGTAGGATACTGGCTAGAATTGGAGACTTTCCAAAGCCAGGGTGCCTTCTGGCTGGGTAAGATGGACCCTGTCACAAAGGGCCAGGTGTTGCAGTCTGCCCGCTGTGTAGCACTAACCCTTGTAAAGAGTCTCACTGAACGCTATTTATTCATGCATCCCTATTGAAGTTAATGTGAGTAGAATATGCTGAATTTGGCCCTAGGTTAGTAACATAAAATTGTAGCTCTTTAAAATGGATCTGAACAGAGACGTCCAGCCCGATGCTGCACTGGCCCTGAGAGCTCGTTGCTTTGAGGGGACTTAGGGGTTTTGATTTGGCTCTTTTATCTGGGGGGTGGGGATGATCAGGGGAAGAACAGCGTGATTATTTTTCTTTCAGATCTAATAAGGAAAGAATTAGCCTGGGAGAGGGCAAAAAGAATTTGCTCCCTTAGATGTTATCTAAGATGCTGCCTTCTTCCTCTAAGAAATAGAGCTTTCATGTGTTATATTACATATGGCCCCCCAAAAAGATGCATATCTTTTGCCTGGGGTGAGCAACTCCTGAGATTTCTGAAGTCAGGCTAGTACATTAACACCTTGGATTTAGGTAGCGCACGGCTACAAGCAAATGTCTTCGGATGATAGAAGCAAATCAGACACTGCTTTTGTATGTCACGAGGGATTATTCTATTTTAGTGCTATGCCCTTTGGCTTTACAAATGCACCTGTAGTGCTCCTGTGGTTAGTGCAAAGAATCTTGGTAGAATTAATTTACTATAGTCATTTTGTCTTTATAAATAGCAAATGTTAGAACGGGCTATACACAAACAGCTCTTCAAACCTTATGTGTATTCTTTGAAGCAGTTCCCAAATAAGGAAGGCTTCTGCTCGTTAATGCCAGCACTGAGTTCACCAGTATACTTTTCCTTTCAGAAAAGACAATCTGAGGAAGCAGAAGGAATTTTTGTCTGTATCTGGTCATATGGAAGATGGCAGATAAATTCTAGGAAGTCTAAGGTCTTTCAGCTGTGTAAATCTGGAAAAAAAAAAAGAAAAAAAAAAAAAGAAAAAAGAAAAAAGTCTAATTTAATGTAATCTTCTGTGTTATTTTTTATTGGAGTAAATTCTTCTGTGTTATTTTTTATTGGCGTAAATGGCTCTGAGAGCTCATGGTGTTTACATGGTATCGTTGTCATATAGTAGCAAGCTGTTAACCACTGCCTGGTGTTTCAGGAAGAGAGATACGGTTCTGTCAAATACTATGGCAAATAATTGTTGCTTTGAGTCTTTTTCAGAGATGGGGGGAGCTAAGTGACTGTACTATTAAGAAGGTTTTAATTTTACCAATATCTCCTATTTTGCATTTATTCGCTACAGAGATTTTTAAAAGATTTTTTCCCCCTCAGATTTGACTTTTTTTTTTCCTATTTGTTTTTTAGGTGACATTACATATGGTATCATGCAGCCTGATTTTAGCTAAGCATGCTGAAACACTCACTGTGCCTGTTGTAGTCCAAATCTGCTTCACAACAACACCAGAAGACAAATAAACATATCAGCAAAGAAGAAAGAACAGCAAACAGAGGTTGAGACTTGCATTTCGAATAAGTGGCTTTCTAATAATCTTGCTATTATAGGAAAAACAAGTTCAGCATATGAATTGATTAGATGTTCTGTTATCTGGCAAATTCCAGTCAATATCAGCTAATTAAGCTTTAGGGTTTTAGTTCCCTTTTTGATCCAAAGCTTCTGGGAGCACTGCATAGAATAGCCGTACCTAAGCCAGGCCTTTTTTTCTTTTTTCTTTTTTTTTCTTTTAAGTGGCGTAGGATGTGGAAAAAGTGAGGCAGAGAAATAAAAGGCATCACAAGAAAGGTGTTAAGAGTAGGAAAATACTAGGAAATTTTGTGCCGTAAATGGTCTCAGTATTTGGATGAAGATGGTGGGGAGGCAGCCTGGAGACAGCCTGGTTTGTCGTGCCATCTCTCAGGATCAGTAATGGTATGAGCTCCTCTTTGTCAGGGAGGATCAGAGGACGGTGGCATTAGGCCGAGAGCCCATCTTGTCCAATATGTTGTCTCTCAAGCAGCTAATAGCAGAGTATAGGAATAGGGAGTATAAGAATAGGCTGTGTTATAGATTGATATTTCTCCCAAGGGCTTCCGGCAATCAGCTTTAAGGATTTCTTCAGCTATTTCTGAACCGTCATGCTTAGCACATCCTTGATGTGGTTTTATCCTTTAAGTGAACCTCATTCCCTGTAGGAACCCCTTTCAGTTCTGCAGCCCAATGTTGTAATGGCCTGGTTGCAGATGTCCTAGCCAGGGATGCGGAGGAACTGTGCTGTTATGACTTATTCTTTTCAGGCCAATTTTTTTTTTTTATCATCAGTGATAAATGAAAAGAAGTCCAAAAATGCAAGAGGGACTTTTTCTCTTATTACACATTTTGCTAAGAACAGCCTCCTGTGTGGCTGATAAATGCAATTTTCATGTTTGTTTCTGTGCTTGTTTGTTTTCCTATTGCTAAATAACGTTTGTGTCCACCCATTGCTTGAGTCATATCAGAACATAAATACATTTGTATGTAACAGACTTCTCTTATTTTTTTTCTTGGGATGCAAACCTTAGGTATTTTGGGGTACTAAGGATTTGACATTTCACATTTTGGTATTTGATGTCCATTGTTATAAATGCAATTGAAACTTTTGAGTGGGGAGCCTAAAGTTAGGTAAATAAAGCAGATGCCTTGTATTAGGGGTGGCCTCGTACATTGGGGTATATCGTGCTTTTAACTCTTACGTGAATTATTGGGAATCGTGAATGCTCTGACCCCAAAGAGAAGCCATTTATTTGGAAAGCAGAAACATGCTTGAAGGTTTACAAGAGGACAGACACCCTGGTAGGGTTTTAATACCCTTCGTATTAAAATCATTTGTCCTGTGAATACCTAGGATATTTCGCTTTGCCAATATAATTGAAATATTCACATTCCTACAAGCACAGAAGTTTTTTTTTTTTTTTTCCTTTAATTGGCACGAACTCTAGGGGATTTTTTTTTTTAATAGCTTGTGATAGTTTCCCCGATTTCAGCTCCCTGGGCATGCATGCAGGTAAACCGTAACTGTCTAATGCTATTCAAGGGTGAAGCCGGGATGAAGCCTGCAATGCAGATTTACCCCAGAGCGGTCGGTCTGTGCGGAGCGTGCCAATGTAACACGCCGGCACAGCTCGCTGTGTTTGCTGCCAGCCTGGATGAGAAGGCAAGGACTCGCAGCTTAGGGGAAGAGCAGTTTAAAGCCTGTTTCTGCCCTTTTCAAGCCTGTTTCTGCAGACGGAGGCGCAGGCGCTCGGCCCCGATGCGTGTGGCTACAGTGCCCTCTTGTGCGAGCGAGCGCTGGTGGCCGGTGGCTCTTTCAGGAGGTCTCCCCGCAGCTCCTGGCTGCCAGAGAAGGAAGGAAACCAAAGCCGAAATCCTCTTCCTGCTGTGGCTATTTGCAGCTGTGTTTTAGTCACCCAAGTGTTGTGTTGCAGAGCTGTTTTGTTCGGTTCCTGTGATGTGATGTGATACGATTTCAGGGCAGCCTTGGGGCTTTTACAGCTTAAAATGTGCTTTGCATCCTGCTAGGAGTTTGGCATCCGCTGGAAAATGAACATTTACTATTTCTGTTGTGGTGATGCCCACAGGACCTGTCATGGACAGGAGCTCCCGGTTGTGTTTGGTGCTGTCTCCACACTCAGAGGTAGGGCCCTTGCTGTGCTGTGAAGCTTTAATCACGTAGAAAAAAAAACAAGTAACCAGCCCTGGTTGTTATTTTGCAGGAAAGAAGAGGGAAGTTTCCTCCTCCTTCCACCCCAAAATTGTCAGCTGCACTTCATCTGTCCCTGAAATTAGAGAGGTTGAATTAATATATCTTGATTGGGAGGAGAAGAAAAAAAAAAGAAAAAGAAAAAAAAGAAAACTTGAAGGGAAAAAGGGCACAGTGATCAGAACTAAGTGAGCAGGACAGACCCAGGAGGGTTTTGACACATTATCATTTGGAAATGGCAAAGTGAAAATCTGCTGTGACTGCAGTGTTTCAAGATTACTATAAGCCAAGAAAAATACCTGCTTGTGCAAATAAGTGTAACCATGACATAGAAACTTCAAGGGATCTATCCCCCTCATTTGATCAAATTACTTTAGATCATTTAAAATTATGGCCATCCTTTTGAGGGTATAGTTCATGACAAAACTGTTGGAAATGTGACAATTAACCAAGCAAATTGTCACTGTATTACCAAGACATAAAGTGTGTGAGCAAGAACGTCATAACATTAAAAAATAGAAATCCAAACCTAGTTCTTCTATACAGGCAATGGAGATATATAAACCTAGAAAGAGAAAATTAAACTATATTGGGAGAAGAAAAAACTTGGTGCTAGCAGGACCTGGCACAGGCTTTTTAGTCCTAGGTACTTCAACTTCTGTTGAAGTCCAAGGGTAGAGAAAACATGCAGCATCTCTGCAGTCAATGAAAAAACAACCCCCCCCCCCCCTTTTTTTTTTTCCTACTGTGCTTTTCTCCAATTAGCATGCAGATTCACAGACTTATTTTGTCTCATTTTAAACATTTTATTCTAAACATTTTCTTCTGATTTCTTTTTTTAACTGTGACAGTTCCACCCTGACTTCTCTTACCTGCCAGTCTGCAGAGAGAGGTACAGAAATGAGGGGAGAGCTGCGAGGGTGAAGTGCAAGCCAGACTGATCTCCAACAGAAAGGAGGAGAGAAACAGGGATGTGGTGTGCCAGAGGACCTGCATGAAAGTAACTAGGAGCAGAACCTGACCATTACAATGCTGCTGTCCTGCTCCTATCTTCCAGTCCTGTTGCATGTCCCGTCATGTTCTCTGTCCTTGCTGCTTCTTTTTGGTCCTTACTGGATGTTTGGCCTGTACCTGCAAATACTATCACCAGCCCTTAAGCTAGGGCAATGTAAGATTCAGCTGGATTTGTGGGAACACCATATCTTCTCGCTTCCTGAGACCAGCAGTTCTCATAGGCTAGGGCCCCATAGCTGAAGGGAAGTGTGTGCATCATAAAACAACTTTATTCATTGTTTTGGGTTTAATAAGATAGGCTTTGTTTGCAAGCCAAACGCATGACATTATCCCAGTTACTAATTATCCTAAATAACACAAGTTTGCCTTACATTAGTCTTTTTTTTTTCTTTTTTTTTCATCCAAGGATCCTATACTTAAATGTCAGTTTAACTGCTCAACAACATGAAAATGTGAAAACATATTTGTTACTTTCCATGCTTACTGGATCCTATTTCTTCCCCTCCAAGTACTCTGATTATGTGAACACAAGATAGTGGCAGAGCCTCTGCCTGCTGAGGGTTGTCCTGCAGATGACCACCGGCTCTCCTGTTTGTTCAGTGCCAAGGTGTACGGGTTCTCCTGGGATATTGCTTAGGCTGCAACACCTTCCTACAGAGCCCATCATCAGCACATTCAGCTCTGCAATAAGTGCATATATTTTTTTTGCAGATGAATGAGGTGCTTTCACATCTTTGCAGCTGCACCGCTTTCTTATCCAAGCACATGTTTTTTTTTAAATTTACATTAAAAAGGATTTTTTTCAGAGATTTTATAATTTCAGAGGTATTTGCCACTTTGCAGGTGAACTTTCATATATCCGAGAATATTTCAGATTCCAAATACAGGATCATCAGTGCCTACATGGACACATCAATTCCTGTCCACTGTCAGAGCACAGATGAGTGCAGCAGCTGGAAGCCTTTGTTTTTCACAAAGGCAAAGTGATCAGCTAGGTTGTTCATTTTGTTCTTCATGATAAACACCAGCTCCAGCTGGAATACAAAGGAGATCAGCAGGAGCAAAATGGCTCACAGGGGAGCAAAATACAGATCTGTTGCTCCCATCAAGGCAATGGCTCCTTACTCTGAGCTGCTGGGGATGCTGTGGACCGAGCTGTTGTGTGGCTCTGTGCAGTGTGTTGAGCAGTGAGCTCCAGAGAAGCCCAGCCCCAGCAGGGAGTAAGCACACACCCCTGTCTGTGAAGAGGGCTGGTGCCAGTCAGTGTAAAAGCATGGCTGAATAATGCACGGCAGCAAGTACTTCTCAGAGAGGAGACCTAGCAGTGCTGAGAAAGTTTGCAGAGGCTGAATACATGTCCTGTGAAATTATGGTGATCTCTTTAGACCCACTGATGTTTCACGTCCCACCAACCCCATAGGGGCACAATGTTGGGGGGGCAGACTTACAGGAAATTTGTCCCTCAAGTTTGTTGAACACAAGTTTGCAGGTTCTGAGATGTGCAGCAATACAATTATATTTTATTGCTACAGTCTTTCAACTAACCCTATGTTTATCCAGAGGCACCTGGACACAACTATTTACTAGCATGAAGTCCAAGAAAGAGCAGGGATCATAATGTGAGTGGGCATGGAGTCCATCTCTTGGCACAAATGTTTTCTGAGCTCATACCATTAATAGCTTCTGTGAGCAACATGCCAAGCTTGTCATCTTTCTTAGGACAAGTTGGAACACCAGGGGTTATAAACCATCAGGTTTTTATTTTATTTATTTTATTTTTTTAAAGATAGCTTTAAGGTGAGAGTGGATGGCTATTGGAAGTAAGGCAGCAATAACTGAGTGTTACCTACAAACAATGTCTTTACAGAATGGCTGTCATCCGAAGCATTGCTCAATTTCCATATGTCACAGAACACAGACTAGTCACTCATTCATGTGAACTTATATTTGCAATGAGATTGAGTTTTAGCAAGGTTATTTTATTTAGATGACAAATCATGTCTTCATAGCAGGCTTAAGGGCATTTAATAAATATGCATTGATGTCTGTGTGAGTGGACAGAGGATACATGCATGTTCAAACCTTTTTCTTTTTTTTTTTTTAATTTCTTTTTTTTTAGAGAGAAAAAAAAAAAGGAATCAGAAGAAGTAAGACAAGGCAGCATATTCCCATGAAAAAAGTAGGTATGACTTTCACAGTGTACGGAGGATGAAAATATTAGAGGAAGACGAATATTCCCAGAGGTGCCGTGCATTTGTGCAGCTAGTGGAGACTTTCAAGAGGAAAGGAAGACAGGGATATTTTTATCACACCAGTGCTTCCTGCAGGTTCTTGGCTGCACCAGCACTTGCCTTCTTGCTTCTTAGACTTGGGTCTATGCAGGATCCACGTTGTGGATGGGGTATTTAGGCATTGTTCATTGGATTATTCAGAATTTGAAAAACGAGTTCATTGCTATTAAAGGAAAGAGAACAGAGTGTCAGAAGCACTGCTTATGTACAGCAAAGTCAAAAATACCAAAGGTATTCGTTTCAAATTGGGATTCTCGTTTGAGTTTACCATTTTCTTGTATTTCCGGCAGAGGGCAGGTTTGTGTCATGAAACCTGTTTTCTTGTTTTATCAGAATCCAACGTGAAGTTCACCAGTCACATTCAAGCCTAGTTAGGAAAAAAAAGTCTTATTCTGTGGTAGTATCCCTTGAAAATTTTATCTCATATATATATATGTAAAAGAAAAATAATAATAATTAAAAAAGTAGGACTTCTTCTAGTAACCTTGAAGCTTGCTAAAAATCTAGCTCCCAAATGCGTTAGTCTTGTTTTCTAAAATTGTTATGAAATTGCCACTGGTTCATTTCTCCCAATGTATATCTTCCTTGTTTCTATTGTGATATCTAAGGTATTTTTAGCTTTGACTTCATATGAAGACAATCGATGATGCAGTTACTGTTGCAGAGATATGAAAAGGTGGTGTTTTATTAAAGTTAGGTAGAATAAAATAAAATAGTACTAGGAAAACACAAATGTAATTAAAATCTTAAGGCTTAAATAGTTAAAAAATAATAAAAAAATATAATCCTAGCATGCAAAACACCAAGGAAAAAAAACAGGTTGTTACATCATGGTAACAAGTCCCAGCAGGGTTAACCACATGCCCATGTTTGTGTAATTCTTCTCAATATCATTTTGGTTTCAAAGTGACATGTTGTGGCACTGCCAGAACGGGACGTTCTGAAGCAAAGGGAGGCAATTGCTTTTCTAATTCATGTGTCATCCCCAGGAGTTGTGCTCTTTCTGCTGTGACTACGTGAAAATGTATTTGCAAAAAATAAAAAATAAAAAAACCTAGATGGAATCTTACTGGTAACTGGTATTTCAAATCACATTGCTTATGTATGAATCAACAGGACAGTTTAAACGCAGCAGTGGATGCACCAGTTTTTGCTTTTGCTTCTTGCATCTCATTGTTGCTGCTTTTACCATCCACGTGGTTTTGAGTCTTGGATTTTACTTTAGTTTCGCCTACAGCTTTGCATGCAGTGCCCCCAAATGATATTGTGATGAAAATACACATTTTTGAAGGTATTTCTCCCCTTTAGCTGCTGTTGCTGTTCACTTTGTACACTAATGTTCTTGCCAGTTTAGATTTGCTTTGATTTTTATGTAGTATGTTTTAGATTTGTGTAGTTTTGCAAAGTACAGACTCACACAATAGTACTGTGCTCAAATCATTATCACCTGAAGATTTAACAATTACCATGAAAAATCACAAGTATAGCCTACTGCCAACAAGCTGTGCACTGCTACTTAAGGAGCTCTACTTCAGCAGTGTTATCCAGGATAGTGCCTCTTCCTTGCCTTCAAGCTGTCTCTGTAGTTTCACTTTGTCTACTCTTAAGGGGATGGCAGCACTTTGCTTTGCATTTGGACATTAGCTCCCACTCCCCCAAGACTAAACATTATTATTAAGTTTACTGTCTGGATGATTCAGTAGTATCAAAAGACAGAGTGAACTTCATCAAGTCAGGAAGCATAGCCTATGGTTAGCTGGTGAAATGTAACAAGGACTCTAAATAGCCTCCAGCATGTAACTGGCGTGGCCAATATTGAACCCAGGTCTCCAGAGGTGGAAGACTAGAAAAACTGGCCCTGGGGACAAATACCTTTTCCAACTCCCATCACATTTCTAATAGTTACTAGGGCAGAATAATGTTTCATGACCTTTGGGTTGTCCCATTACCGCAACATAATCTAGCTGTGCAAGCTTTCCAAAGGTCACTGTAAAAATAAAAATATTTCCTGCTGTGATCCATACCCTCAAACACAAAGAAAAAGAAATATCTTAATAAATGTAGTGACATTTGCACTATAGGGCACAGTACAAAGATCATGAACCATTATTCTGCACTAGTAATAATGTCACGATTTTATTCTTGCCCAGTGGTTACTGTATGACATTTGTGCTCACAGGGAAATTCCTGTGAATATCAGTAACTTAAAATATATTGCCTCTGGGTCCTGTCGATCTCCCATTGGAGTCAATGGAAGCTTTGCCATTTGCTTACCAGTAAGAGGGAATAGGACTGACCCAGCATTCTCATGAGCAAAACTGAGATAGTTTTAAAGGGTTATTATTAATTTTTTTTTTTTACATTTCCCATTAAAAAGCATCTGTTAACTGGCTCCTTGATAAAACATGTTTCTTAAGAGAATATAACTGGTCATTCTTGTTTTCCTGAGAATTGCTGCAACTATGTTTACAGAGGAGAGATTATGTGATGAGTCTTTTTTGAAAAAAAAAAAAAAAAGAGAAAAAAGAGAAGTCATAATGCTTCTTGCTACTTGTGCAATTATTTATGACTTGGGAGACAGATGTTACCTAATACTTCTTCACTGCATTCCTATGTGATGGGATCCCTCTATTTCTCAAACAGGGAGATGGATTAATTCAGAAATTTCTGATGGAGTGACATAACAACCTATAGAATGCTTAATGGTAATAATAATAATAATAAAAGGCCTGATTTTCAAAGACATGGAAGCACTTGGTTTTATCTGACAGACTGGTTCTTACGTTAGTTACCTGAAAGTGCCCTGGAGCAGATGCTTTTTAGACTAAAATACGTCAGTCTTGATCAATTTCTATAAGATTATCGCTGAACTCTTGGAAGGAGGAGGTGGAGGGTTTGTATGCAATTGCAGTCCATGTTAGCATTGGCTCCTGTCTAGAAACACACCTTAGTTATCAATACATGTAATGTATCTCTGACAATATTGACAAGTCTGAGAAGAACTCCACCCCTCCTCCTGTGTTAAGGAGAAGCCTATCTGAAGGAGAGGAAGTATTTGAAAGCTCAGTTAATGATAGGATCACGTTATTCATTGTTTTGGATTACACGGTGCCTGCCTCTAGTCTGGCTCCACTGCAGGGGAGATAAATGTTTCCTTCCCCAGTCTCAGAACTGGTTTGCGTCAGAGCAAAAAAACACCAGTTCTGGGGGAAGCACACAGGCTGTTATTTCTTAACAGCTTCTGGTGGCTAAAATTATCCCCAGCTGCAGGGGATGGTTCGTGTTTACAATTTGAGGAAGAAGGCAGCAATCGTAACATCCAGCGTGCCTCCTCCTAATTGCCTCTCTGACACGTGCCACAGTCAGGTTTGTGACGCAGGAAGGTTTCTGCTGCAGTACAGGTAGGAGGGTGTCCTATATTCATCAGGTACATCCAGCAGTGGGATTTTGTTGAACAGGGGAACTCAGCAGGTGGGATCTGGCAGTAAACAAGCTGAGAACCACAGAGCCCATCTCAGCTGTCACACCAGCCTGTTGCTGCCCCTCATGGACGTGAAGTTGAGCCTTGGCTTCAGACAAACACAAAGTGGGAACCAGTCATGTGAACCAATGTGTCCAGTGCATGACGCTGGGCAAGATCAACAGTACAGGGCAAACATTCAGCATGTCCTCCAGAGAGCTCAGGGAAAGACCCGGTCTGGTTCTCAAAAGGGCTAGCCACCAAACAGCACAGCTTACATTTATTTTCCTGCTCCTTGCCCTGGCCAGAAGCACAAACAGGCTCGCATAGTCTGGAAGCAGCTGAGTACAATTTTTCCTGTGGGTGGTAGTATTTAGAAAGTGTCCCGCCTTGCTTGCTTTTCTCAGATTGCTATCTTCCTGTCCTGATGGGATTAGGAGCCTGCCTTCTCAGAGGCACTGCCTGCTCTGGCCGGATTTCTCAGGCACTAGGCCGGTAGTGGTGATGACTTCGTAGCCGTGCTAGTAGCCTGTCCGGGGGAGGTGAATGAGGACAAGGCACGAGGACAGAGCAAGGAAGTTGTAGTTCTCACCCCTAGCAGGAATTCCTTTGAATATTGGAAGGAAATGACCAGGGAGCAGACATCAGTCATGCTTTTCTGACTCATTGGCATGTTTTCCAGCCAGCAGACCCTGCCGGTATCCTTGCTGCATGTAACATTGCCGTCCCAGTCTGTTTCTGCAGGAAGCTAGCACAAGAATTTTCCTCTTTAAAAATATAACTAAGGAATTAATGTTGTAATACAGGAAGTTTGGAAATGCACTGAAATCACTGAGGGAATAAATGCTCATTTTTAAAAAATAAAAGCAGCAGCACTCAAATTAATTAGGACCTGGATGATTGAGGTGCTCTCGTGAGCCCTTGATTTCTCTGAGAGACTGCTTCTCTCCCCTAAATGTTACTTATCACAGGATACCTATAGAGGGGGGTAGAGTACGGTTTGATCTAATGAATGGTTAATTGGCTTGCTTCTCTCCCCAGCTTTAGAAAAAGGAAGACCCACAGGAGAAATCATTTGAATGTCACAGTGGGATCAGCAACAGAGCAGGCAAAACTGGAGTGGCCCGTGAGGTACTGAGCTGTCCTTAGCTGTCTGTTTTCTTCTGAAACTGCTTGCTAACTTTGTTACTAGCACAGTGTTCGGGAGCACTGAGGGACAGGCAGCTGCTGCTTTCAAAGTTTGTTGAAGGCAAAGAGCCTGGAGGTGAAAGGCTGGTGTAACTCTGCACTATCCTCATGGAAAGTGCTGTTAAGGCTGATTCTGACACAGGTACTTTTGCGAGCTTGACTTAGCATGTTTTCAGCTGCAGACACCAATACCTTCAGTTCTGGGTCCAGAGTTTAAAGGATCAGCTTAGTCAGCAAGAGAAACTCAGTCTTCTAATGCGATAGCCTTTAATTAGACACGCATACATATATAAATGCATAGATTATCTACTACCTCCTACTACAAATGTCTCACTGAAATTAATGGGGTTATTCAAAGAGTAAACTATGAGTAATAATGAATAATGTTAATACTCAGCATGACTAACAGTGGTAGGAGGGAGAGTCTGAATGGCTTAGACAGGAGGGTCTGCTGGGAGCCAGCATCTGATTTGCACGAACAATGACTTCTCAGAGCGGTGAAGCTGTTGCTCACTTGTTACCAATCATTAAGTTATAGCACCCATTTTATCAAAGACTTCTTGATCTCTGCCTTTATGCCTGTTCTCAAGGCAGAGTTTACATGCGTGGCAGAAAATGAGTCACGCACACGCAGTTGGTCTTCTGATCCCTTTTCTGTTTAGTTTTAGTGTGGTCTACATCCTCGCAGCAACATTTTATGTAGACATGTTTCAAAAAGCCCGTGACAAAGCTTCTCATAAGAGGCTTTTTTTTTTTTTTTTCTTTTCATTTAATGTGGGAGGGAGAGCGTGAGATGAGGAACTGATTAAGCAATAAGAAAAAGCAGGCTGAGATCAGATTTCAGAACAGTTAACGGTCCCTGACGCAGTGCCTCGGAGTCCATCTGAGGCTAAGCCATATTGTGACATGCTGGTGTGTATGGAGGATCTAGAAAAAAAATGGTGTATAATGAGCAGAGAAAAGCAACATTCAAGAAGATCAAAAGTTTCAGAAGAACAAAACATGTATTTATTTTCCCTGACAAGGGCTGTTAGATGGTCATCTCTTTATAGATAATACTGAATTTTTAACGTCACTGGAAGAAACTGGTGGTGGTGTGTTACTGTGGAGTGATATACAGTGAAATAAAATCTGCTGACATTCTACCTTTCTGTAATTGCAAGTTTCTGGGGAAAGACCTGCAGTGTAAATTCACTTGGGATGAGGAATGAGGAAATTAATATTTCTCCTCAAATACAAAGCAATCTGAACTCCATCAGAATTAATTCTGAAGAGATAAGTCTTTTCGTGTGTCCCTTAAGTCAGATCAATTCCTTTCTTGTTCTTATTTCTAGTTCTTGCTGTTCCTCCTAATCTGTGGTAACCTAGTTTTCTCCTGACAGAAATTTCAGCTTCATGTTACTAACAGAAAAATCTGGGAAACATTAAAAATTTAATACGCTAGAGAGAGATCCTTGGTTAGACTGAACCTAAGATAATGAGGTGAAGAGGTTTGGGAAAGGGGAAAAGCTGTATAATTCCAGCATTTGTCCTAACGTGCAATTAAGATTCTGATATGTGACCTAATTTTAACAAGCTCCATGACTAGAATAATAAGCCAAACCAAAGGAGTATATCAGATCATGGACACTGAAAAAGACAAAACAAAACAACAACAACAAAAAAAGAACAGGTCATTTCAGGATGTCTTAATTGTAAATGTTGTCTCATAGATTTGTGATGCAGGTCTGGACCAGAGTGATATTTAATAGTCCAATCTATTAAATGTCTCTTGCTGGTTAAGGAAAAATACATTGGTCAAGGTGTTAAAAGATTAGTTCCATCTGAGGATCTCTGTCAGACGTTGTTACTGTATAATTAAAGCTCCCATTAGAGTAGTCTGTCTGTTATGGCCACATCAAAAGCTAGAGTCAACCTTCTCTCAGCAGCAGTTTTGCAATGTGAATAAACGCTCACCAGAGACTTTCTTGAAGTCACTCAGTCCATTCTTATTCTGCTTTTATATCATACTTGAATCCAAGTTTCCAGATGCTGTAGGCTAATGTAAAATAATACCTATGCTGTCCACCCTCAAGGAGAATATTGCTGTAAATGTTCTCAAGAAGCTGGATCATAAACTGTTTCTCAGGGATGTAATTTTAAAATAATTCGTCTGTACTCTTCTTGTTACAACATTGGCCTAAAGAGGATCAGTCCCAATCTGTTTAAATGTAGTCTTTAGACACCCGCTTGTCTGGTGACTGTAATATTGTCTGTTGTGTGCTGGAAGGTAAGAATTTTAAGGTGAAGTGGATCCTAGGGTTCAGCTGATTACTGCAATATGTCTCTTGCATGAATTTGACAAACAGCACTACTGCTTTTCTGTTGGACAGATTAGATGACTAGGCTACCAAGTAGAGTTCTTTACAGAAGAAAACTGAGCAGGTTGCTTGTTACATGAAGCAGTGAATGTCAGGCAGAGGGACATTACAAAACTGATGAATAATTTTGATTGATGTAAATTTTATTCCTAGGCGTGCACAAATGGAAATCTCTTTTTCTAAAAGTAGGCATGCTAGAACAACAACAATGTTCTTGTTGACTTACCCAGAAACTGCATTGGGTCTCTGGTATTAACCATGCATTACATACATAAGTAACATCTCAAAAAGTCAATGGTTCTATTACTTGTTTGCAAGTGTGAGCAAGATTGATAGCTTTCAACAGTGCATCAAAGCTGAATCCAGATCTCTGGAATATAAACTCTATGCAGGTTGTGCATTGTCTTGTAACACAGAGATTCACTATGAACACTCGCTGGTACTACTGTTGGTACCTGCACCATGACTGTCAATAAGATTTTGGTTTACTTGTGGCAAGTTGCAGTTTGGTCTTTCTTCTGGAATCTTCTCTGAGCTTTACAGCAAAGCCTTAACGTGAGCAAAGCTTGTGTGTGTGGTTATTCACATACCATTTATGTGTCAGTCAGCAGCAAACTAAGATATCTTTTAAAATATGTTTAAACATTTGAATATTTTTTTCTGTAATTTATTTTGTTTATCTTATTTTATCTCAATAAATAATTGAAGTGGATTCAGGAATCTCCACTGCAAAAGAAAAATGTGCAATTAACTTTTATATGTGACAGCTGGTAACTGCATCCTCCCCCCTTGAAAAGGAGATCCTTCTGCGTGGTATGAATTTGTTGATATCTCCTAACTTAGCTCTTTGTTGTGTCCTCCAAATAAAACAGAAGAGACCAATACTGCAAATAAGGAAGATTCTTGATACTTTTGGAATTACTCATCCCCTGAATTGTAAACTGTGAAGAAATCTTTCTAATTGTGTATCCTTCTTGGTCTATAATTTTGAAAGGAATAAGCTGCCATCAGCCAGACGGAATCACCACTGAAGTCTTCAATAAGCAGCTGCTAGGAGTTTGACTTAGAAATCAGGCAGAGACAAGAAGAGGAAAAAATCTGCTCACTGTGGGTGGGGAGAGAAGAGAACTTGTAGGAGGCAGAATTAACTATTTTCATCTTTGCAATAACATTATAGAGAAAAATCAGTGTTATCAGTGTTTTTTTTAATTATTTTTTTTATTTTATTTTATTTTTAGGGAAATACTGCTAGTGTGGTTGAGAGTGAGCCATTTTGTCAAGGTATCTCGTTAGGGCCTGGACATGTGTTTCAGATCTGTTGTTATTTGATGTTGCTGCTGATTCTTATGCAAATGAAGTTTTGCTATTGACTTAATTGTGAACAGGCAGCATTCTGCCTCCTTAATGCTTCACAAAGCTGCATGTGATAGTTAAGATTTTCCAGTTGCTCTCTAGGGAACGTGCTTTTTATACAAGGCTTCTCATCTGATCATCAGGTATTCAGCTTAATTTTAGATTATTATCTTTGTTAATAGAATTAAATGAACTTTTTCAAGATTTAGTATTCTGTAGTTCTCACAGCTGTTTAGAGTCTATCAACTGGATGTAAACGTTTTGGAGAAATTAATGCATTTACTTAGAAAGGTTTTCTAATCTTTCTAGTGCTTGCATGACATTAACTATTCCATGGCTTTCTTGCACATAACTCATCACATTCTTCATACTAGAGAAAAGCAACTCATTGTAAATAGGTTTGAACAGTTGGCTGTGAAGAAGCTGGAATGTACAGAATGACTCAAGAGTAGACAATTCAAATGTGTGCTGACTGCCAGTTGTTGTTTGACAGTGGATAGATTGGTTCAGGCAAGTACATCTTCCAGGACTACAGCTAGAAAAGACCTGGAAATGAACTCTCATGACTTTGAGGCTCAAGCATGCTTATTATTTGCCCATTTTCTTTTTCTTTTTTTTTTTTTTTTTTTTTTTTGGTCTACTTGTTGTCCATTTCTCTCCTTGGTTTCTGAGTCTTGCTTGAGACAGGAGTGGAAGCACCAAAATAGCCTCACAATATGTGATTTTTCAGACGTGAATTAGTCATCCCATCCAGTTAACAGTATTCTAGCTTGTCTGGTGTGGATAGACTGGAATTGCTGTGTGTCATTGAGAAAGATGATTTGAGGGTGGGATCTGCTTAACCATCACTGCAAGTGAGATAAATGTCTTCAAAATGTGGCTTAAAGAAAAGCTTAGGCCTATAGATTCCTTGGAAGCAGGGGTGGATGAAGGAGAGGGAATGAGGCTCAAAGTTCAGGAAGTCAGATCTGTTAAATCTTTGTTTGAGAATAGTTTTTAAACAAATGACTTTCTTTGGCAGTGAGGCTGGTGTGATAATCTCCTGTTTCCAGCCTCTCCTCTGTGTCTGCCTCTCTTTCCACTCTTACCATGTGCTCCCTGCAAGCTGTTCTGCTATAGCTATGTGTGAGGTAGTGTCGTGAGTACAGTCTGAAGACTGATCTGTCTGAAAAACAACTGGGTTGAAAATATTTATGTGTAATGTGGCTCAGGTCCCAGTGTGGCTCGCTGTGCTGCCCTGGAACTATTGCCCTAGCACCAGTAAGGGGTGGTGTAGAAGCAGGCGTGAGCACACAGGGGCCATGTGGAAGTAATGTAAACTGATTACTACCAAATTTCTGTGCTGTAATGTCCCGGGATGTGGCCCCGAGGTAGAGGGTTGGCAGGAGTATGTTGCCTGGGGCTTTGCAGCAGGCAGCCCATGTGCAGTACAGGAGCGCTGGGAAGAAACAGGGCTGTGTGTGTTGGTTAGGTGTACCTACAGGATGGGTATCTTTGTCTCCTCAGCGCTGATTTCACCTCGCAGGAGGAGGGAGCCCTGGAAGCACCTCCAACTTGTAGCCTCTTGGCAAGGGCAGGGGTATTGCATGAGATGTTGTTTTTGTCCTGTTTTTATCTTTGACCATTTGCATAAGGAATTTGACTCCAGAACTGGGTGTGTGCTGAGATTAATACACATAATACTGGTAACGGAGCAGCAGCTCTCTGCAGCAGAGGTAGTCTTTTCTAAGATGGTTGCTGTGGTATTTTTAAGGTAAAATCTTTCTGGACATTGTGACTGAGAGAAATGCAAACAGTCATTACCTTGTGGCTTGAGAGAAATACATGTCTGGACTCCTCAGAATCCCTCAACACTTTGCATTTTAAGTACAACTCAAAACTTCCAGAACGCTTTCTTTGCTAAGATTAGATTATTTTCCTTATTTCACTCTTTTTTTTTTTTTTTTTTTTATTTTCTGAACTCCAAAAAGAAAAACATTTTTTTCCTCCTTCCCTTCTTCCCTAACTTCTTCCTCTTCCCTACTTGTATTTCAAGAATGGGGATAATTTGAATGGGGGTTTAAGAACCTGGCTTTTATTTTAGACATGCAAACTTTCTTTCTGGTGATAGAAAACTGTCTAAGGACATTGCCTGCAATAGCAAGGGACTGGATTGATAAATCACATTCTATATGTAACTATATGTATATAATATGAACATATAAATGGATGTCTGAATTTGTTTGGCTTTTTAAATCAATCTAGATATCTTTTGCATTAAGTATGTATAAATAGCAAACAACTATTTCCATAGTGGTGAACAACTGACTGGAATCTGACTTTCTGGAGTGGAGGACAGTGTTTATTGAATGATTCTTTGTACGATTCGTTTTGCTTACTGTAAACATGGCATAAATGACAAAATATGGAAAACAAACAAACAAAAAACAACCATCTGAAAATTCACAACTTAACTGATAGTGTGAGGAAAGACAAAATAACAGGTGATGCCTGAGACACAGACCTATAGGTTTTTGTCAGCAGTGTTAGTCTTTCTAGAGGACTCGCTATTTTAGAAAAATGGCATTTTTCAACTCACTATTTTAGAAAACTGACAGTTTTTCAACTGTCTGCTTGCTCATTTTGGCTTTTGCTTGTGGAAACATGCCGTCCAGAATCATTATGTGCATTATAGATATATTTGTAGTAATTATGCCTCTGCAGGTCAGATGAGTTATTACCTTTTTATTGTGCCATAAAAATGTTTAAGATCTCTGTACCAGTGTAATTAGCAAAAGTAAAATGGGAGATCACTGGGGGGGAGGAAGGGGGGGAATTTGATTCCTTTAAAGTAACAGCTGGATTTGCTATACCAAGTCAGATAAGGTTTGTTTCATTCTGGCCTCATTGATGCTGCAGGTTCAGGAACAGCCATGAACACTGCGCAACTAATGACTTCACTTGGGTGATTAATGCCCATTATCTACTTTACTTCAGAGTTTGATATTTACTAAACTGATTTTAATACCTTGAAATATGCTGAAACCACCTCGATTTCTTGCAAAATTACATCTTATGAGTAGGGTGGTGCTGAATGCAGGCTGGAGCATGCAGTAGGTGGTAGTCTGCATCAGAGAACGGGCCTGCAGAGAAAACAACCAAATTTGGAAGCTACTGTACATCTAAGGCATCGCATGATTCTGGGGCTACCATTTCTCAGATACAGTGATGCTGTGTCATTCTTCTCAATGCCTTGCATCCTCTGTTGGACAGAAATCCTATTCCAACCAATGGTCTCCTCTGTACTTCAGTACAGGCTCATGGGACATGCACAGATGTAGAAAGTTGCCAAATCTTACATAGAAGCATGACTCACATTAAAGCTGATGAGAACAGGGTGCCTGAATGTGTTGGACATTCAGTGGGTTTACAAGGCCTGATGCTACCCTGCATCAAGACTTGTGGCACTGTATGGGTTTTGCAGGTCCACATATGTGCTGTATTAAAGGTTATTGAGGAGCAATGTTCATGTGTTTGGCTGTTATGTTAAGCCCTTTCTGTGGTACTGTTCTTCTTTCTCTGTCCTATCCACCAAGTTTTTGTCATCAACCTGTATTACATGCACAGCCTCTGATTTCCAAAGAAGCCTCACTCTCCCTCTCCCCAGCTCCATGAAGCAACGTTTTCCTCTCTCTCTCACAAAATCCCAGAGCAAAGCTGCTGTGTTCACAGAGAGAGAATCTGAGTTTCATTTTTGGCATGGAGATCATTCCCCAGGGGAGCTGAGGAGCACCAGCCTTGCCTTTGCTGTATGAACTTGTGCTGGGTGCACTTGCCAGCTTTGGTTCTCTGGAGGGTCTTGATGTTAGCAGTAGAAAGAGAAAGGTCCCCAGCTGGCATCCTGTAGGATAGATTCTGCTTCTCATCAGGGCCCACTGGCACAAGGCAGTGTTAATATGACTATCTGCTACCCTCTGAAGTAGTTTATCTCAGAACTGGCACAGACATTTCTCAGTCCTTCTAAATTATGTGGTCTATACATAACCTTAGAGCTAGCTCTGTGTACCAGTAAAAGGTGCTTTTGGGAGAAAGGCAGCTCTGTTTCCATGTTACATTGGCTGTTGAGGCCCACGGAATGTCTTATTCAGATCACTCAGGAAATCAGTTGCTGAGCTGTGACTTCACCTGAACCTGAATCCCAGGGTGTACAGAAGTACCCTTCCTGACTGTTGTTTTCAACAGGGTGATTTTCATAACAGCAGTAGGGCTTTGTCTCTTTTTTCAAGTCTCAGCAGTTGGCATGGATGGTTTAGCACTTTCATTTAGAGGAAAAGTGAGCATAAGCACTGCTGGGAAAAGTCACGCATCGCAGGTGGGATGTCCAGGCAGAGCTATGCAGTCCCTTCTTGCCCTTGAGGCTACAGGTTTGGGTTTCAGCCTTTTTCCTGTGCCTCAGTAGATTTCCAATGTGTGCTTGGAGAATTTCTGTGCATTTTTTTTTTTCTTCCTTCTCAGAAAAGGAAGGTTAGGCTGCTCTGCTCCGGAGGTTTACAGGCAGTGAAATGATGATCTGAGTCTAATGGCTGCTCCTTGTCAGGAGTGTGAGAGAGGAGCCCTTTGCACGCGGGTATGAGGCAAAGTGCCCTCAACAGCAAGGCCTCAGATGTGGCCTGAATCACCTGTGTGTGCTCAGGTGCTTGACAACTATCTGTATGGATGTGGTGACCTCGAGTCCTGTGGTCTTTGCTCGGAGTCTGAGAGCCATGCACAGTTCAAGCAGCTTGAGGAATATGTCTCTGCAAATTCTGGCATGTCTCGGCCTTTCTTCTTGTGCCAAGCTGAGGCTCCAATCATCTACATGATGCTCCCAGCACAAATTCACCCTTTTAACCTCTTAACACACCTCGTATATGTGCGTGCACATCCTCACGCTCTGAGGTGATGGGAGCCAAGGATGGCAAGCACTTTTGGCGAGGCTCAGCAGATGCAAGCTGGGTGAATCTAAAGGGCTGGTAGGTCTCTAGTTCAAGCAGGCAAATTGAGTAACTGGAGAAGGAGCAATATTTTAATACTCTATGAGCAAGCCATGCAGGTGTGAGGAAACTTCCTGTAACCTGCAGCACAGAAGGTAAAATCAGCCCACAAAATTTTGTCTTTAGCAGGTTTCCAAGTCTGCAACCAAATAAATGTATTTACAAGCTTTGGCTTTATTTCTGAGAAAAGGGTAATGGGAAGAAAAAAATATGCTATGGTCCAGAAAGTTTTAATTTTGACTCTGATGTTAACATGCTATGATTGCCAGCAAGTTATTTTAGATTTTTTTTCTCCTCCTCTTTACCCTTCTGCTTCTTCCATTGAAAACTCAAGCCTTCTCTGGGCCTCCTGCAAGGATTTTTGGTTAGAATAACCCACACTGACTCATGTATTATTAACGGGGTCACTTGCTGAGAGTTGTCCATTTGGATGCAACAACAGTGTGAAGTCTGTTGCTGGCTGTTAATGCTTGTGGAACACGAGTTTGGACATGGTTTGTGAGAGCTACACAGAGATACCTTTGTCTGCCAGGTGACTGAGGCATCTCCACATACAATATATAAAGGCAGATTGATTTATTCACCTGAAACGTATCTACTGCAGACCTGGTTCGGGGCTAGATCCTAGGTTTTCTTCTCTCACTTTCTGGCCCACAGTTTGTGTATTTGCTGTCACTACAGTCATTCACAGCAAAGTCAACAAGAGAGAGGTTGGCATAGGAGTGATGCTTTTTCTCATTTAACTGCATCACTCTGCTCCCAAGTAGACTACAGCAAGTGCAGTTATACCAGAGGAACACTCTTCTAGCTGTCACTTTGTGCTTTCCCAGCCATATGTGGTGAGCATATGCATTTGTAGTATGTAGCACAGCAAAACCAGGCACCATTTGGGTATGAGTGTGTCTGTGCTGGGAGGGCTGTTGGAGCAGAAATCTGTCTACTGCTGGCAGTTATTTGCTATCCCTTGAGTAGCAAAGGAAATGTAACAGGCTTGGGCACAAATAACTTAAAAACAAACAAACACACAGAAACAGATAATTTCATTAGAAAATGTCACCTTATCTTTTGGCATAGGAGTTCTATAGAATGGTCTATCAATGGAAACCTTGAGAAGGACTTCCACAAAGGGGCAATTGGCCATGTCCTGTTCAGAGAACCATATGTCTGGGCTGAAGAGTTAGCAAGGGTCCACTCTGCAGAGAGCTCTCCCATAGATGCCGTAGGGTTATGAAGCCTTTCAAAAACAATAACGCTTTCAGGCTTTGTGCACCTCCCATCCCCATGAAGGACCTTATACTTTGCTTGGGTACTTAGAAGAAAATGTTTCAGTTAGCCCATTTTCCTGATCTACCAGAGTGCTAACAGTTTCCCTGACAACTTGACTGTAGTAATATCTCCTGCCTTTTTTTTTTTTTCCATGCCAATTTCCCAAGGACTGGTAGTTTCAGTTAATTTCCTCTTGGGAATATAGGAGTGGGATATTATGCTTGTTTTCCTGTGGTGAATTCTGCATGAATGGTTCTCCGTGCACGCAGGATGCGGGGAAGGGAAACTTAGAAAAATCTTATCAAACAGAGGAAGAAGGGAATAAAAGGGAAGGAATGGTGAATTAAAGAGGCTTTTAAATGGAGAACAGTGAAAATGAAGTAATTCTCTTACTATGAATAACTTTTAATTTTTCAATTATTCACTTTTTTTTTACTTTGTGTGAATTTTTTTCACTTTGTGTGAATTATTACAGCAAACAGTGTTGTTAGTTCATAATACTAATTCCAATCCTAAGCCATCTTCAAAGAGTAAAGATCTGAGATGTGGCAAAACCTCCATAGTTTACCACTTGACTCTGATTTTACTGAAGAGGCTAAAGGGTCACCATTAGGAACTTAGTTTTCAAAATCAGTTTAAGCAGCAGTTGTTATATCAGGGTATTACTCTGCAGGTCCAAGATAAAAGGTTCTACAAACCAGCTGTCCCCTTTAATCCTGGGTTCCCAAGAACTGCCCCAACATCCACATTGTCTTCAAAACGTTTTCACCGAGGACTCCAGCATCAGGGAACTGTGCCAACTAAACTAATGCCCAGTTCTTCATCACCTGCTCCATCTCACAGATCTTGTCTGCTTTAGGGTCATGGAGAGAGATTGCAAATACGTGGAAGAACAAAAGGGTGGACCTAAACTCGAGATTCTTACTCCAGAGAAGGTTTTTCTGCTTGGGAACTGGAGTATTCCCACGGTTTGAGCCAGTAGAGGGAGATGTTACACGCGTGTAAACCACAGGCTCTGCATGAGGTGCCTGTGCCCCTCTTAAAGGGGGGCACCAAGCCCAGCCCAGCAGACATAAATGGAGGAATTCCTATTTCCCTCCTACATGTCACGTCCCTGGTTGTTTTAGTATGTCTTTCAGAGCTGCTTTCTTCCACAAGAAGCTGAACACTTGGTGTGGAAAATTCCATAAAAATTAAGTTGTTCCAAGCCTGCACTGAAAAAAAAAGCAAAAATTCATTTCTTCAAGCAAATTAGTGGTCAGACAAAACATGTATTATTGTATACTGTGTGCAGTGGCATGTGAATGCTTCCAGGTGGATGTTTTATGACTGTTAAGAGCTGTTCTGATAGCACTGGAACCGGTATTATGAACTAATGGTTAATAATGATACTAGTGAGCTGCAGGGAGCGTACAGAACAGCTCTGAGGTGTTACAGTATTAGTGGAAGAACACCATAGGTCTAATAATTCCTACCTTTCTTTGTAGTGGATTGAGCTGAGGCAACGTGGGAGGAGAGCTGACATGAATGGCAGCTACTTTTCTCTCAGGTGTCTGTGTACGTGGGGACACAAGGGTGGTACTTCACATACACTGCTTGTGGAAGAGGGAGCTGCTCTCCATCATGACTCTTGGGAAATTTTCTGGTATCTGCCCTCATGTTGGGCAGCTGGATTCCAGGTCAGAGGGATGAGTTGGATATTTCAGCCAGTTCAGTCAAAGACTATACCTCTTTCCCCTCTTTATGCTGAAAAAAGATTTCTTGGGAAGTGGGTGGGCAGGGGTTGCTTCAGTGCATATTATCTGTGTTAGTTCACTTTTAGCCACAAAGTGAGTTTGCTGGGCTGGGAGGCTGTCAGACTTCCATGGGGATTTCTGTGTTCACTTTAAACATGATGTAATGGCTGATTGATTAAACTCCTTTTGCTTCGCTTATAGCAACATTAGATTGCATTAACAGTTTGGAGACCCAGGTATTTTTGTTCCTCGTACTGATATTTGTAGAGCTTCTTTGGGGCCATGTTTTGAAACGTGGATACTACTCAGTTGCAGATGTGCATTTGAGTTTGGCATGTCCTGTAGTTCTGTTCTTGGGCAGCATCTTGTAACCATCTTATCCAAAGGAAAAAAAATGGAAAAGGTCAGATACTGCCTCAGGCTTTTCCTTAACAACCCCCTCCTATTGATGTGCCTGAATAAAAGCTGCAGGATATGACCTTGATATCTTCTACTTTAAATGCCTGTATTGAAAGTATGAAGTGTTCTTTGTGTATAATTTTTTCTTATTCCTTGCTATTTTAGAGGCTTTCTTTTTGTTCTTTAGATTATATTGGATGCTGGCTTAGTTCTGTAACATTCTCATGGCAGGAAATGTCTGTATATGGAAATCTTGCAGCTAGACTTCAGTAATTCCCACAAAGACTGACAGTCCTATGCAGTGACTATGTATATTCTGTCCTCATGTTGGCAAGAGAATTCAATTGTGTTCCTACAATGGGATAGGATTTAAAGCTTTTAGCTGCTTTTGTTTCTTGTGGAAATGATGGCTTCTGGCCATCTGGGCAGAGAGTGACATGGTCTTTTACACAGGACTTTTACCCATGCTAGGGAACTGTTCAAGCTTGATTTTTAAACAAAAACCTCCAACTTGATATGAAAAGGTGCTAGGACCTAATCTTTTCCTCTCCCACTTCCCTCAGCAGCTCAAGCTCTAACGTACACTTACAGAAATTAAAGGACTTGGTGGACACTAAGTAAAATGTCAGAACAGCCAGACAGATTTAATCACTATCTGACAATCTCCCGGCCTCCCTAGCAGACAATGGCCAAATATCCATGCAAGCCAACCCCTTAATATCCTGATAGCACACTTGCAATGAGGATTAATGCTTCTAGTATTCATTACAAAGTTCCAAGTCAATCATAGGTGAAAGTATTCAGGACAAGTGGAGTTTAGACCTTTCCAGGAGGATAATAGTCACTACTGTCTCTCACATCACTGATGATTTTATTTAAAGAAAAGCTACAAAATAAGTGAGTGATCATGTTTTTGGCTGTGACTTATTAGACCCTCCCTAAAATCAGTTCACTTCTTGTGAAGTTCAAGTTTATCCTGACATCATGGCATTTCCAGGCCAATCTGTTCTCATTCTTTATATCCTTCATCCTCTCCTTACTCTTTCCAGGACTTCTTGTTAACTGATGTATTTGGTCATATTTGTCCTGTTGAGACAATGGGGAGATTCTTACTAACATCAGTGAAACTAGAACAGACCTTTTCCATTTTCCTTCTCATATCTCTTTTTTCCCCTTCATGCCAAATGTCTGTGAGTAACACTCACACTGAAATGGGACACTTCGGTCTCTCTTCAAATTTCACTTTCTTTTTTTTTTTTTTCAATTCTCTAGAAAAACTGCCTGTAATTATCTCATCAGCCACAGATGTCAGAAATGCTTCATGATTATTTTTTTCTATTTTTCATTGTGTTTGATGTTTAAATGAGTTTGATTGTTAAATTCTTGGAACAGTGATCAATTTGTTCTTATGACCCATGTAGAACCTATGATAATCTATAATTAATGTATCTAAAATCAGTAGAGCATAGATTTTCTTTGTTTGCTGCTGAAGTCCTAAGATAACAGCACTCAGTATGTGGGAGGATATCATTGTGCTAAATTGTGGAGTTACCTAATAGAGAAAAACAAAAAACAGCACAACAAAACAATCTATTGTGTACTTTGACCACCTTGCCTGCATTTTCCCTTTTAATCTTTCTCTGTTAGGGGTACTGCTTGCACAGATCTAGCTTTAGATACGCTTGTCACATTGGCCTTAACAATGGTATCTAGACAAGCTATAGTACATAATCTTGAAGGAGTAGAGATGCATTGAGTATTTTTTTGTTTCCCAGGAATTGTATGGTTTGCACATTTGGTAACTAATGGAGTCTGGATATGATTTAGGTAGAAAACATAGCCCCAGTATATAGCATATATTAAAACCAATCAAAACAACCCTCAAAACCCCAATTCTTAACAGTTCTAGAACTGCCTGGCACAAAATAATCCCATTTCTGCTGGCCATGTGTAATGCCTGTTGCTTACAGCAGTGGTCTGTTTTGTTGTTCCCCATTGAAAGATGGTAAAACTGGGGGCAAATGGCCTGTGTGTAATTAACAGAGCCAGCAGCAGAAGTTGAGTCTGTCTGCTTTTCTTGCTCTGGCACTTCCATACCTCAGAACAGACGCAAGTATTGTCCACAGAACTTCCTGAGCATTTATTTTTGAGGGTGACATGGGAGACTGCATTTGATTTGGTCATAGAAAAAATGCTTAGCAACTCAGAATCATTTTATTTTTTCTTATTTATTTATTTATTTATTCATCTCCTTTAGTTATCATGGCCCTTAGGGAATTAACCCCTGATTGCCCAGCCTTCCCCAAGGCCTCCACCCAACCTGCCCAGGGCACCTTCACAAAAGTCATGGGAGTTGATGCGTTTTCGGGTGTGTTTCAGCATGGCAATTCCCCTTCTCCAGCACTGGTCAGTATGGGATGCTGTAGGGGAAGGCACAACTTGTCTTTAATTAGTATGTGTGAGATAATCTCTTCCTCAAAGCAGTCTCCTCCTTGTTACAACACAATCTCTAAATACTAAGCCCTGGAGCACGTAGTTAGTTGTCCTTCCCATTTGGAAAAAAAAAAAAAAAAAAAAGTGGTTATTGTAACTCTGCTTTATAAACATATAAACCCTGGGAGAGTTTTGCCTAGTTTGTAGCTTCAGTGACACTGTCAGGTTTAGATGAAATTCTTAAAATCTATATAACAACATTCTTACCAGCTCTGAATTTACCTTCTTGCAGTTTGCTTCAACATTTCCTTGTTCTTTAGTTATGAACTAAAACAGGTTCCACTTCAACTATTTTTTTTTTTTAAACCAACGTTTTATTTACTTGTATTACTGTGCCTCATTCATCTTTTGTCTAGAATCAACTCTTAACAGGGAATCCAAGATCCTGTTGAACTGTGCCTTTTTTTCTCAGGGAAACCAGGCAGTAAAGCATGAAAGCCTGCATCTAGCAAGACAGGTGGCCAGCTCCTCTGTGGCAGTGGAATTAGGTGCTGCCGTATCTCATACAAAGCCTGGCATTGAGCAAGTCCTTTTAATGTCTTTAACCCTTAGTAAGAATCAGGTATAACTCTTGGTGCTCCTGATGGTGTGATGAGCGACAGGCAGAGGCTGCCCAGAGAAGCTGTGGATGCTCCATCCCTGGAGGTGCTCAAAGCCAGGCTGGATGGGGCTTTGGGCAACCTGGTCTGGTGGGAGGTGTCCCTGCCCATGGCAGGGGGATGGAACAAGGTCATCTTTAAGGTCCCTTCTGACCCAAACTAGTCTGTGATTCTATGAATGTGAGCCTGCGCTGCAGCTTGAAGGCTGTGTGATCCATCTGTCTGTGCTGCGCTGCTGTTTGGGACCTCTTGATGCAGAGTGGCAGCTTTACTGCAGTTTAACCAGTTGCCAGCTGTTTGTCAAGCTGCAATAACCGACCATGTCATGCACCCGCCCAAATTTCAAAGAAAACATGTTGGCTTAAACCCATGACAAACAGATTTTAGCAGCATAATGCCCAGTCCTTTCTTTCTTAAGTAAGCATGTCAATGTCCTAGGGTTAACGTTTCTCAGCGTTTGTTTTAGTTCATTTTAAAACCAGCGAGCCTAACCCTACTCTCCATGCACCTTCTGGAGTCAAGTGGGCACACTGGCAAAGGATGTGGGAGATGCCAAAATGCCATTCTACTAGGAGGTAGCAAAGGGAGCTTATTGGGGTGGGTGAAGATGATTCCTCAGGGAAGACCTGAGCCTGGTGAAGTTGAAACTCCCTATTTCAGGTGTGGTGTTGCACACAAGCAATAATAATGCCTTCCACTGAATTGTGCTGGTACCCCTCTATTGTATACAAAGTAAACAAGAATTACATACCACACCTTCCTATTCTTGCAGCTGGAGCTATTCTTCTGATATCTTTGATGTTAGTTCACTTTTCCATTCTTTAGATCTCTTTGTTTTCCAGTTTCCTTTTCAGTCCTCTCTGCTTGTTTTTAATTCTTTGCCCTTTTTTTTATTTTTGTTTCCTTGGGCCAGACACATTAAGACCTCAAGATAAACATATGAGGGGATTGGTATCTGGGCAAGGCAAGTCTTTTGTGGCCAGGAAAAACATTTCTGCTGTATGAAACTATTGTGGCTGAAACCGTAGAACTAACAGGTGACATTGCAGTGGAGAAACCACACGGATATTCTGCACAAATACTAGATTCCAGGAAATGTAAATGAGCTATCTTTGCTGCAATGTAAACTCAGATTCCTGCTTATGTAGCACTTCTGCTCTGCACTGATGGATTAGAGAGACTTTTTCAGCAGCTCCAGGATTTCAGACAGCTGCGTGTGGTCACTCTGGAGCTCCTGTATGTTATCCTCAGCCTTCCCATCAACGACATCCCTGCCATTTTTTACTGGGAGTCCTGTTCAAAGCTGCTAACTAAAGGGTGTTTCACCTACCAACCCCCTGGAGCTGCCTCTGCTCAGCAAAGCACCCAGCTGCATTCCCAGGGTAACAAGCCACTGCCATTATAACCTCTGTTATGTTGGGCAGCCTCTGCCTCCTACTCCTTCCTTTCCTGAGGGCTGTATTGATCTCAGCAGCTGAACAGGTCCCCTTTCTGAGTTGGGCCAGCGCCTTGACACTGACTGGAAGGAAGCCAACAGCCAGAAATAAAATATGTGCTGTCCAGAACTAGTTAATTTCAGTGAACTGGTGGGCTAAGACCACCTCTATATGTGTCCTGGAAGTTCAGGCAAGTTCTCCAATAATATTTCTTGGAGAAATTCAGCTCAGTGAATCTGTACCAAGAACTTGAGGATGAAACCAATTTCTTCCTCTTGGAAAGGGCATGGATGCTGTGGCTTCCGCTTGCCTGAAGCCAACTGGAGTGATCTCTGAAGAGAAAACAAACTGTTTATGTATACTTATCCTTACTCTTATGAAAAGACTGACTTCTATTAGCTGGGCACTTCAGTATTATTCCACAGCTTCTCTCTGTCCACCTGCTTAAACAGGCTCGTCAGTATCTTCTCTCTGAAGCGCTCCCACCCATTGAATAGTTAGAAGTCCAAATTGCTGAAACATGTTCTCTGTTCAAGTGAAGCCTGTAATACAAATAGGTCTGTTGTCATATGACAGTATAATCTTACCAAACAGTGCACTGACAGGATATAATAAGGATGTGTACATGTCTGTTCACATAAAGTCTCTTCTTACTATTTGTTTACTAAGGAAGAAGGGTGCTAAAATTAAACCCACTTTTAGTTCAGAATAATCCCCATGAAATAAGTACTTACCTTTGGTCCTGAGATCAGAGCTCATCATCCCTTCTGAAAAAAAAAAAAATAAAAAATCAGACAAGTTTGAAATAAAATGCAAGTAGTGAGGACTTCTTAGCGTGTTTTTCATCAAAGTAAAAATCACAAAACATTTTGAAGGCATCAGCATTTATTGCTGGCAGAGCCACTGGTGAAAATAATTCACCAGGTCCTGCAATGACTAACACCTCTGAATTTCGCTAGGTGGAAAAAGCAGAAGGAAATGAGTGCCAGGTAACATGATGATAGCTTACCTTCACATGGTCTCTGTCTCTGGAGGAGGAGGTACGTATGTTACTGTGCCATGAGAGTACGTCAGTGCAGTTGTCCAACCTCGGCCACTGTTTATGGTCCCAAAGCTGTGTTTCAGCTTGTACGGCTTACTGTAGCCATTGTCAGCAAAATGAGCTCTAGATGCAAACCTGAACTCCTGCCAGTGACGTCTGAACAGAGTATGGCTATGCCAGGAGGGATTAATTGTAATTACACCATACCTCATCTTAGGTCATTCTTCCTCTGCTCTGCTGCCGCCTTGCAGTCGGTTCTGCCTCAGTGCCCCACTTCTATCACAGCAGGGGGTGGCAGCAGCAGTGTACCCCAAGTGCTGCTGTCATCTCAGCCCTGCTCGGTGTGTCCTGATGCCTTACTGTTGTGCAGAGCTGAGGGAGAACCTGGATAGGGGCTGCTAGGCCTATGCTTCCTGCTCAGCTGTGACCCTTCTGTAGAGGAACTGGTGTGGTAGACCAGTATCGTCAGAGCAGCATATACCACTTCCTGTTGTATGATGCAGAAGTACGAGCCTACAAGTGGCTGTTGGTATCATTTTCCCATGCCAAAGTCAAACGTATTCTGCTGTAAAGCACTTTCCTGGTGGGGCTGTTTCAGTTCCAGTAGTTACATAAGTACACAGCCTTTGGGTTAACCCTTATGGGGCTGGTATGGGTTTTTGGAGCAAATATGGCTTTTGGAGCAAACAAACACCAGAGAGGAGGATTTAAAGGACAACACCCTGTGTCCAGAACACCTTCCTGATGGATATTTTCATGAATAAATAAAGCCTTGGAAGTCTTGGACTGCGTCAAAAGCAGTGTGGCTAGCAGGGTGAGTGAGGGAGGTGGTTCTCCCCCCTCTGCTCTGCTTTCATGACACCCCACCTGGAGCCCTGTGTTCAGCAAGAAGGACATGGACACATTGGAGCAAGTGCAGAGGAGGGCCATGAGGATGATCAAGGGCTGGAGCACCTCTCCTGTGAAGACAGGCTGAGGGACCTGGGGTTGTTCAGCCTAGAGAAGAAAAGGCTCTGGGGAGACCTTACAGCGGCCTTCCAGTGCCTTACGGGGGCCTGCAGAAAAGCTGGGGAGGGACTCTTTGTTGGGGGTGTGGTGACAGGATATGGGTTATGGCTTTAAACTAAAAGAGAGTAGATTTAGATTAGATATAAGGAAGAAATTCATCACTCAGAGGGCAGTGAGGCACTGGCACAGGCTACCCAGGGAAGCTGTGGATGCCCCATCCCTGGAGGTGTTCAAGGCCAGGCTGGATGGGGCTTTGGGCAATCTTGTCTGGTGGGAGGTGTCCCTGCCCATGGCAGGGGGTTGGAATTAGATGGTCTTTAAAGTCCCTTCCAACCCAAACCATTCTATGGTTCTATGATTTGAGTTTCAGCTCCAGTTTACAAGTTGAAGCTCATGATTTCAAGAGATTATATACTCTCTCTCCCCCCCCCCCTTTTTGAAAATGTTGCTTACTGGGTAGGCAGCTTCTGATGTGTTCTGGAAATCTGCTAGGTTTGCAGAATGCAGAGTGTAATGTCTCTAAGTATCAGACTTGAAAGCTCTCGGGTTGGATATTGGTATCATGAATCACTGATGGAAATTCAGCCAAAGACTTTGAATAATGTACTCAGAATCACATACATGTATTTGTAACAGTCAGGACACATTTCTTAAGTATCGGTCTTGTGCTTTGACCATGGGTCCATCCCTTCTCCATTCCAGTGGTTAAATAATGAAATATGACAGCATACAGAATTCAGGCTTATTTAAAATCTTTTACAGATAATTTTTGTTATTGTTGTTGTGGCTAGGTACCTTTTAGGATCCAGTGAATTGCTTTATTCCCTAAAAAAAATAAATATTTAAAACCATTAAGCAAACCAAAAGCGGATCTGAATGATTTTTAGAAGAGACAGCAAAGAGGAGAGGTATCGCAGCACAGGGATGGCCCTTCCAAGACTGTGGACATATGTATTCATTTGGCTGGCTGTTTGGAAAATACCAGTGTGGTGAGGGTGAGGACAGTCTGTAAAAGCCCGTGTGATTTTATTCTTGGCTTGTGTGTTTTCACTGTCAATGAAAATACTGCCTGTGATTCAGTTTCTATGAACTGAGTGAAAAAGCTACAGGTGCCAAATTCGAGGTTGCTTTCTATGGCCATCTTAGGTCCAGAAGCACTATGGAGGTTGTGTAGGTGCTGGGGTTGGAGCAGCAGTGCCTCTAACATGGGGGTGCTCCTCCCATCTGCTTGCCAGGAAGACCTGACCATGGCTGTCTACAGAGAGGAAAACTACAGGCGTAGGCAACTGGGGTCTGAGCAGATCTGTTGGACTGAAACTTCTCTGTAGCACAGGAAATGTCTGCCTTCCTCTTTTTTTTCTTCTTTTTTTCTTTTGCCCTGTGCTAAACCCCAAATCTGTGAGTGCTTATGCACGTACTTAACTTTACTACCGTGAATAATTCCGTTCAACTCAATAGGGCTATTCATAGTCAGGCTGAGCATGTGTGTTCAATGTTTGCAGGATCAGACAGTGCAGAAGCTGGCTGCTGCACCATTTAGGGCTGGTAATTCCATCCCTTAGGCCCTGCTGTCCTTGTATGGAATGATTTCATTTTACACAGACTTTGCTTCATTTTCCACGTGTCAGCCCTCAGTACGTGTGCTATTAGTGCATACCAGCACTGAATACTCTTGCCTTAGGTATCACATGAAAAGAAAGTAACTTAAAAGTGGATGCAAATTTAAGCTGAATTCCTGTCCGGTATGCTGGCCTGATTTAAAACATCCAGAATATTTTAATGCTGAAAACAGCATTCATCTGTTTTGACAAAGAGGCCTGCCTGTTTTATGTTGATTTTTTTTAATTTTCTTTTAGTTGATTTGTAGTGTGTAAACTCCTGGAATCCAGACCAAAGGTTTGGGAATTATTGTACAAGGTGAGGTGCAAATACAGTCGAAGGCATTCCGCCTCCCCTCCCCCCACCCCCCCCAAAAAAAAAAAAAAAGCTTGCAAGCCTTGCAATCAAGCAACAACTATCTGGATTTGGCCAAAAGGAGCTGAATAAAAGCACAAGATGCATAAAGAATCATTAAGAAATATCAAATTAGGGGATTAAAGCTTATGCTTTGCATAGGGGTTAAACATGAAGAAGAATAGAGTCATAGCATACAGAGCTGGAAGGGACCCAGAGCAGTTACTCACTGTTGCCTCAATTGCTTTCAATTGTGATCTTCCAGAGTGCTCACAGCTCCCTCCAGTTTGACATTGTTTGCAGATGTAGTGAGTCTTTTCCAGCTTCCCACTCACAAATGCATATATTAACTAGCTGGCACCCTCGAACCATGCTCTGCCCCACACAGGTTGATAAACTTTCCCGTTTGACAATTGATAGCTCATTGTTCTGGATATGATTTCTCCATGCTGTTTTGCATCTGACTTACAATGCTGCCCCAGCTTGCCTATGAGAACATTACATGTTGCGGTGTCAAAGCCTTGACAAGGCAGCTGTGGAGCATTTCTCCACCGGGTTTTGGGCTTGCTTCTTGCCTTAAAGGAAATTAACTGGGACGGAAGTGACTTGATACTGGCAAATCCCTGCTGACGTGTCTATCACTGAGGTGCTTACATAAGAACTGACTGATTTGTTCTGGTGTCTTTCCAAGAACCAAAGTGTTAGGTTAAGCGCTCTGTCATTTCTAGGATTCTCCTTTCTGTCTATTTTTATGGATCAACACTGTATGCACCCTTTGCTGTTTAGGAAAACCTCGTCCTTCCTTCACAAACTCTCAAAGATAGTCGCTAGTGGCTCTGAAATAGCTTCAGCCAGGTCCTAAAATGTTCTAGGCCAAACTTCACCAAAATCATGTGAAACCCCTACTCTGCTCTCTTTCTTTCCTTGCCCGAGTTATGTCTGCTTTGCTGGTTGTGTTCTGTCTGATCACAACTGATTTAACAGTGTCTGCTAAACAGATTAGTGGCACAGCAGGTGTCACTGTAAAGGGCTTATGTTGTTGCTGAGTGTAGGTGGTAAGACAACAATATGCTGAACTGTTAGAAAGGCTGAGAAACTGGGAGATCTTGGAAGCCAGAACAAGAAGTTAACGGTGTAATGAGTAGGAACGAAGAGACAGTGGAAGAGCTCAAAGGTGGGAGATGTCACGAAGGCAATGTTTTGCTGAGGTTATTCTGACAGTGAAACAAATTTACTGTCCCAAAGGGCAAAGAACGGAAGATCACAGTGTCTGTAAATGTTGATGTCTCTGAACACAGTGGTGTCTTAGAGAGTTTATTTGCTTTGAAAACAAAGCTGGAGACTTCCGAGTAGCCTGGATATAAGGACCGATAGAGAAGGCAGTGTTTCTCATGCCTGTCATGTGCTTGAGGTGCTGGAGCCTTTTCACAAGTACCAGACTGGCTCCTACCTGTGCTTCACAGGGTGCAAGAACTAGCTCCGACCAGATCCTGTGTTTTGAGAGCAGCTAAGGTCCGTCTGTGTTGATAGCTTAGTATATTTTTCTTAAAATGAACCAGCTACCACTCAGTTTGAGTGCAAATAGGGAAGAGACAGAAGAGAATGATATGTGTCAATGTATACAACTGTGTATGGATTTGTTCCATATTCTATCTCCTGCTTTCTGTGGGGGAAGCATAAAGCCCAGTGCTGTAACTCTTCACTCTGAATATTTACACCTGGGTGGGGATGATTGAGAGACAAGCTTCTGAAGGATTGGGTCTACAGCTCAAGACCACTTATTTTTGAATGTTTTTGGTTAGCTGCAGAATCTGCTTAGCTATAGTTTATTCTCATTTAGCCTCATTTATTCTGTTTTCCTTTTTTTTTCTCAAGACGAAGTACAAAAAATATATTTTTCTTCCTCTTGTTCTTTGTTTTTCTAAAGAGATCTGGTTACACCTTAATGAGAATGTTTGTACCTAATCCATTAAAAAGAATATTTCACCTGTCTTCTGTGGCCAGTTCTTGTGAAGAGGGCTTGGAAAGCTGACAGCCTTCTACAAAAATGGTCCAAATATAAGATGGTGGTTTCAGCTACCTTGGATTATTTACACTACCAGCTTTCTAAGGGTTAATTAAAGTGCATGATCTTGTTACAAAGGATGATGAAACTGATTCACCTATCTGCCAAACAAAGAGCTTTGTGGTTTTTCCTTTTGTTGCTTTGTTCCAGCATTACTTTATACTTTCAGCATGTAATTTGTTCTGATTTATTCCATTATTAATTGCCCATGTGGGTTATATTGTCACGATCTCTTTTAACCATGGGCACCTGAAGTACTCAACACTGTACCTTTGAATAATTCTAACCATCACAGATACACCTCCATTTTTATTATTGAAAAATCAGAAACGGCTGATGCTAAGTAATTAATGACAGAATAAATTTTCTTGTCTGTGAACACTTCCCGCACAAAGCAGTTTTCCATTCTGTGGTGATTTATCAGTTGTTGGTATGGAGAGAGTGAATGGGTGAGCTATTTAATTAAAACACTGATAAACACCAGATACTGGAAAAATTGAAGAATGTGTTTGTGAAAAGGGAGGGGAAATCATTTCCTTTTTCTTTATTTTGCTGCTAGCTATCTTGAATGTGGCCACTGTCAGCAGGTGAAAGGGTAGTTGATTAGAGGAATGGCATATTCCTCTCATATAAAAACAAACTCACAGTACTAGGTGATTGTTGTAGTTAGATGAGCTGCAGAATTTGACTGAGTTTAATAAAAATTCCATGCATTTATAAATTATTTATTTTCATAGCACAGTGCTCCTGAATATATTTACCACTGGAAATGCACAATGCTTATTTGTATATGTTGTAATAATAATTACTTTTGACATTTATGATAATTTTTTATTTTGAAAGATTGGTACAGTTCTTCAGACACACAAGAAAGTTGTTAATATGGCAATCAATCAAATGCAATCAATCAAATATTGTGCCATACTGCTGATGGTAACTCAAGGTAATAGTTAAGATCTACAAGGAAAGATGTTAGTCTTTAGTCTAGGAAAAAGAAGTCAGAGGAAACATGGAAAAAAGTCATAAAACACAGACAAAGTGGCTGCAAAATGGAAGGAAATGAGTGGTTCTGTATCTTATCTGTGCACAGTAGCTGAATTGCAGCAAGTAATACTTAGGCTAGATGCTAGGAAGAGCTGTTTAATAGTGGGGGTAGTTAGCACTCGCAGGGTGATTCCGCAACCTCCCTTGGCAACCTTCAGGGGATAAGGCAATAAACTGCTCAATCACTGTGCCAGGAATCATATAGGCACAGCTGATCCTGACTAATGGCAGGAGAGAGAGGCTCTCAGACACACAGTTTGATTTTTGGTGGTCCTGTGTGGAGCCAGCAGTTGGACTCAGTGATCCTTGTGGGTTCCATTCCAGCTCAGGATATTGTGTGATTTTAAGTCCCCCCAAAGCAATAAGTGTTTAAAATCAAATGAATAGCAGCTGACATACAGCACTCAGTATGGAAGATGCTGGCTTAACCAGCTGTAATGAAAAGTCTCATAATTCTTGTTTCTCCTACTTTGTGAGTTCATTAGAAGCAGACACAAGATAAAATATCATAATGGGCAAAATATTTCCTCCTCAGAATTCACGGGTGAGTGGTTGAACAGTGGAGCAGTTCTGTGCAAGAAGGCCATAACCAGCCTTTTTATGCAGCTCCTGGGGCGTGGGAAGAGAAACTTGCTGGTGGGAATTAGCAGTGGCTCTATCAAACTGGGTAACTGTGGCTTCCTGATATATGCTACAAGAGGTAGAAGGCAAATGCTGCCGGTGTCTCAGCTTCACATACAGCAAGCTGTGACCACTTACTGAAGCCCCAGTCATTTCCCACCAGCTCATCTGCTGCCCAGTAAGGAGCCACATGTATTTTAAGTTACCACCTGCAAGCTGTTAGGAGTGCCAGCTGTTAGGGAGTGTAACTAAATTCAGTTGCTGGCTACAGGAAATTTTAGGATGTGGACAGCAGAAGGAATAATCCATATCTTGTACTGGGACTTGGTAAGCATGTATTCCTGACAGGGCACATTTCTTCAAATCCTCAAGACATATAAGTTTAATGACTCAGATTGAATTGTTTGATATTCGGTGAAGCTTAGGCTTGGATCCTCAAAGATACATAGCTTCCCTGGTTGCTCAGATTAGGAATTAAGCACCTTAAAAGAGATAGGGATAAAAGGCCACTGACAATGGTAGAAATAAGTCTCTGAGCAGTTCTGCATGGCTGACAGGCGTGCAGGTGGAATTTCACTGGGAGGCTGGGATCTGAGTGAATGCCACGTGTATCTGAGCGAGATGTTTTTGGCACTGCTGTAAGCGGGGCATGTTTTTACCTGCTCTCACTTATTTTAAAAGTATTGCTGGACTCAGCTCTTTTTTCTTTTTTTTTTTTTTTTTTTTTTTTTTTTAATACAGTCTTGTTTTCCTATGGGATCATAAATACGTGACATGGTGAAAGCATGATAACCTGCAGCATCTGCGCTGAATGCAGCTGGCTGCAGAGGGATTCTGCAGAAGTTCCACCAACCCACTGCATCTCTGTTTATGCCAACAATGTCTCTGTATCATTTTTTTAATACAGAATTGCATCTTTTTACATTCCCAAAGGCAAGAAAGCACTTTAATGAGGACATAAAAATGTTCTGGCAGTACCTCTGTGCATGTGTTGGAGGGAGGAAGAGTTTTTTAAGGCTTATCAAATGTTTGAAGGGAAAGACCAAATAACTCTTTCTGCAAATATGACTAACTGTGAGAAAACTTTGCAGAGTGTGGTTCCCAATTTTGATTTTGCTTATTTGTGCTTATGTAAATCTGAAATATACACACTGAAGTTATCGAAGCTCCACTGACTTAAGCGATTGCAGAATTTACATCAAATTGTCCCCAGAGCTGTTTGTGCTGCTGTAAGAGGTTACAGTTCACAATGGTAAGTGAGCTGATATGTTTATGGGACATTCTTCTGTGGATAGTGTGAGATACAGAGACTGTCAAACTAATTCTCTTGAATGGATTTTTCTATAGCAACACTGAAAATAGCTCATTTCCCTTTAGTTGTACTTAGGAAGCTTAGAGATGTAGGAAATTTACTTGTAACTAAAAAAAAAAAACACCTTTCTTTCATTGGTGTTTAGGTAATATTCTTGTGATCTTTTTTACAGTCTTCAATTAGCATAAAGCTGACAATTTTTCAGGCCATTTCTGTTGCTATAATAGGCCTTATTAAGAGGCCCCATTATAGCAAAACTAGCCTTTTCTAGTTCTGGTCCAGGGAGCAGAAACAATATTTTATTTGAATTGCTCTATCTCTAGGGAAATAATAACTTGCTCCTCCACCCTTTGAACTTGTTAGGGGTTTGTTGCAACTTTTTGGTAAACTAGCAATGTTCCACACAAAGCATTAGACTTACTGTATCTAACATTAGATCGGATGTGTTCGATCAGAGAGTTTTCCTTAGGCAATAGCTAAACACAAAGCTAAACCAAATCAAAGCAAGAATCGAAACATTTTATGGAAAGCCCTTAGTCTAATTTCTCCCTTGCATTCTCCCACCCTTCCTGTAATTAATAGATTTAATTAATTTGTTGTTTTAATAAGTCTTCCCTCATCCATCCTTCATCTGAAAGCAGCATTACTGCATTGACAAATATGTATTTCCATAAAAAAATAAAGCCTTATGTCCAAGATTGCTATTCATTTCTTTCTCTTTCATTGACATAGTGTAATATGTATCCAGTACTAATTTTTCAAGAATGTTAAGTTTGTAAGATGTGTTGCATTTGTTTGCAGTTATGAGATCCAAAATGTGTAATATTTAGCATATATAACATGTATAATACTTAGCATGTGAAGATACCATACAAATAACCTATTGTATAAAAACAATGATGCTGATATTTAATCATGAGGCAGGAGGAGGTATATTTCTCCAGCTACAAACATACTTACTGGCTAAATTGACAAAGAGTTAAACTTGACCAACTACTTGCAGGAAAAGAAAATGAGCATAAATGCTTTCATGGGTGTAGAAACAAACAAAAAGAAATCCATGGTTGGTCAGATTCATATTTAACAAATAATATCCTTTGCAAGAACAGCAGAAAGATAAAACCCGACTTGAAGTTTTGATAAGGGATTATTAAATGACTTCTATTTCTACAAAGCTGTTCCAATAAGATAACATAAGAAGCAAACACCATACGCACAGTAGTCAATAAACAGAGCGTTGGTTTCAGCCTGGCAGCAGTGGTTTGCATGACACAGGCTCACACTGGCAGCCTCAAACCATTTACTTTGGTGCAACACAGAACAGTGAATACAAATCAATCTCTGTTAGGAGAACTAAAGAGAGAGGCTACAGTGCTTAGGCTAATCCCAAATAGAGGAACTCAGGCCAACTGTTCGATTTCTGTATGCTTGTCACCACTCTTGGCCAAAGTGACTAAAGCCAGGTCTGACACTAAAAGCTAGGTTTGTTAATGGCATTGGCTGCTTAGCTGTTCTGTTTGTGCTCAGGTTTTTGTAACATGCCATTAATATGAGAGACTACAAACACAAAATACACAAGGCACTGTGAAGAGCTTCCTACCAGCACCCAAAGTATTGTGCTGTAGGACCCTTTTGCTGAGCTCCATGTCCTATAGATGCTGTACTCAAGGACATGTTTTTCATTGCAATAATAATTTTCTATTCCATAAATTTCTTGACATTTAAAAACAGCCTGTGATTGCTTCTCAATTTTGTCACCTTATCACCTTACCATTTTAGGTGTAGTTGTATTTTTATTTCAGGACTGCCTTCACCAGAGGAACAGTTAAGGAGGTGGGCTGGTGCTTTTGGGTCTGTGTGAGAGATGAGTACGTGCTGCAGGGAAGTAGCCAGGTCCCATCAGAAATAATCAGGAGTAGCATCGGAACTTAAGACTCGGAAGAGATGTTTCTCTGATGCAATAAAAGCTGAATTATAATGAAACTCTGGAAGTCTGAAATCCTGGGAAGCTCTTGGTGAGAGAGTCATTGCTTTTCTCTGAGCATCTGAGGGAGAAGGGACTTTACCAGGAGGGATGTATGGCCTTCTGTTGAAGGTGGTGATTGTAGATGTTGTGCCAGAAATAAGAGGGGTGTCGGAAATAATAACCTTCCTGGTGGGCCACCAGAACTCAGACCTGCCTTCCTTGGCTGCACGTGACTTTGCCCCAGAGCACAAAGAAGAGGGAGCACTTCACTGGTGTGGGATGGCTTTTTAGGGACTTTATTCTGAGCACTGAAGGAGTAAGTGAAGGATATTTGCATTTTTAGAAGTTCAGGGCTTTTCAAAGAACATCCTAGGAATGATATGCTTATACTGATACCATTGCAGTATCATAAATAACTGCAACGACTTTGGCCTCCCAGCCTTCTTTGGCTCATAGAGCCATGCAGTGCGCAGAAGCAAGGACAGATTTCATTGCTGTCTGACCAGGCTTAGGATGTTGAGTTTGGTAGGCCTGGATTTTGTATTCCCATTGTACATGATCTTGTTATGCTTTGCACATATATGGGACATATATGTAGCAATGGGTGGAAGGGACAGAAGGTCAGGATATTGGCTGGTAATACTTGAACAGCCGTTGTAGCTGCAAGAACACATTCAATACTGTAAAACTGGGTGAGGCTTTAAAAGATAATTTAAACTACGTAGAATAGTATCGTAACATGCTGATGTTTGTGCACTAACTCAAATATTTGTCCAAGTCCACGCAGATATGGTGAAAAGATGCTAACTTGACCTGTAACATTTTGCTTTACTTGATAGTATCTTGATTGAAAAAGCAAAAAGTTTACTAGTAGTAAGTCAAAAGAAACTGCATTAATAATAGTGCATTACTAAACCTGTAAATACTTGCATATTAATTTGTCTTAAATATATATTTTTTTTAAATGGAGGAAAAAATCCAAATGTTTACTAACTCTGAATCAGTCAGTTTTGTTTATGTACAGTACAGACAGATAAGGAAGCAAGTTATGTGGCCTCACGAGCACCGAGTTATCCATGGGCTGAGTAGTCTTTGGTTTTGCAAGTGTCTGGAAAAAATTATCTTACATTCTGCAAGATGTCTGGATGCCATGCAGTGAGTACCCTGTCAGAATTCATTGATTGAGAAACGTGTTTGGGTGTGGGCACATGCAAAGCTGTGGTAGCGAGCGCCTGTCAGCTGGACTGTGGAAACTGGCTATGTGTGTGTGGTCTCTGCTCATCACAGCTGCGAATGAAAGGTGTTAATTTATCTGCTTGCTTAGGGGCAGTGGGGATGGCTGTAGCTGCACCCTGCAGATGGGCTTACAGCCTGGCAGGTACTATGGTCCAGTGTCAGGAGGACTGCTCTACTAGCCTCCTGGTGTGCTCAGTGTAACTCCTTGGTCCTTTGCTACATTCTTTTTTTGTTGGGACATGCGTTTGGACTCTTAGAAAGTTGTATTATTTTTTTTTCCTAGCCACCTGTATATAATGGCATGCCTCTAAAAGGAGTGGGAATGTAGATTTCAGACTTACTGTCTGAGAAAAGCACGTACTACAGAGTCCCTTGAACCCTCTTCCCTTATTCTTACCATGTCCCTTCCAAAGTCTGGGTTTAACGTAAGAACAGAGTTACTTCTGTTGTACTCAGTCTGTACCAGCTTCTCAATTTATATTTGCAATCGGGGCAACTCCTCAGATCCATCCTCAGTGGGCACAGCTGATGTGCCTCTTTCTGGGTCTTACGAAGCATGAATGACAACACTGGAGTGGTGTCATCACCAAATTTGGTGGGCACCTCTCTATTCTAGAGGAGAGGAGCCTGGATGGTGTGTTTTCCTCACTTCTGTCAGGCTCTTGTTGTGCCTTTGCCTAGCATGTTTCTCAGCAGAGTCTGGTTTTGCTTTCTGTGCTGCAGAAACCACATAAATATTTCTTGTGGTGGGCTGCAAGAGGCAGTGCAAGCCCCCATGTCTAAGAGATCCTGGAGTCCTTTCCCAGGCAGCAGTACGGTTTCAAGCTGGAGCTTTTGTGTGGCAAGGTGGACTAGGAAATGGGCTTTAAAGAGAGGGAGAAGGCTCTGGTGGCTGGGATTCCTGGGTGCTGGAGCTTGAACAAGTGACTGAAGTAGACACTGCCTCAAGAACAAAGACACGGTGGGATGGTTGTGATGGCTGCTGGAGGATTGTTCTTATCAGGACCAGTCATGTAGCACCTGCACTAGCAGTCTGCTGTCAGAGTATGTCCAAGGAGTACTTAATTTCTGCTGTCTTATTTTAGCAACACAGTCTAGACTTTGTTACCAGGGCTCATGTTTGGGCCTGTTAACGAAGGCAATTTCGGCTGGCAGAGATTTACAGTATGTATCTTGCTGGAGGACTGTAGCAAGGAGAGAAGGATTTGTCCTTTCCTTATTGCTTGGAAAATAAGTAAATACATAAATAAAAAATGCTGATAGTGCTGAGTCACCTCCTTTTCATCCTGAGCTTGGTGTTACTGAGGAATCTCTCAAGATAGCTCTACATTCATGTAGAAATAGAAATAGGAAGGAGGGAGGTCTCTGGTGTCAGCAGCATGCAGGCAATATGCAGGGCTCTCACTGAAGCCAGGAGGAGTGGACTGACTTTGCTAGATCTGGGGTGAAAGTGGGCTCAAGGCTAGAACATGTGCCTGGGAGGAGGAAAGTGGAGCAGCTGCTTTCTGTGGTTAGTATCAGAGGCAAAGCACAAGACATCCCTTCTCTTTTCTATAGCAAGGCCTGCTGGCTTGGATCACTCTGCTGCTGCTAAAGACACTGGCAACTGTAGTGGCCGGAATGTCTTTTCATTATGCAACCCTGTTTCTCTCTGCTAAGCATCACAACAGTCTGTGTTTCCCTCCTTCAGACTAGACTATGGAAGCTGAGACACAGTGAGCATCTATCATGGCTAGTTTATTTCATACTGCTGAGCCCAGCAGTAACAGAAATGCTCCTTACCTCACAGCTTTTTTTTTTTTTTTCCTATCTGCCACTACTAGTAGTGGGAACAGCAGTAGGTACCATCACTGGAAGTACTGTTACTGATACATACAGCACGTAGTCTGGGAATGACTGCTCTTGCCCTTTATTGAATCTAGGATATGTCATTTTTATTGTCTCATGTCTCCAGTTGAAATTCCTTTGTTCTGTATTTGTACAGTATCTCGCACAGACACAGCCAGTGCCTCAGAGAGTACTGCCACATGAATAAGTCTTGCAAAGGGGCAGGGTAAGTAAACAAGAGGGATACTTTTTATCTATGTTTATAAAAAAAATTGTAATTGCAGGTCAACAATTACACCCATGATAAGTGCAGGGAGATTGGAAGAAGAATAAGGTAGCTCAGGGAATGCTTATGGAGACCTGCTAAATGTGAGAAGCTGCAAGAGGAACATACAAGATAACTTGTTTGAAGATTTAATGGAGGGACAGAAGAGTCTGATGTGATGGTTGAACCGGGAACAAGAATAAAGTTGTAGTACTGCAGCAACTGTAGCTGATGTACTGGGGGATATCATGGTCCTCTCCCTAGAGGACCAAGCCAGACAAAAAATAACCCCCTTTTTAGGACTGGTTTTGAGCTGGCTTACCTCCCTGAGCCAGCTCACTGTGCAATCACAGAAGCAGCAGTCCTAGCACAAGAGAGGGATATGGTAGCATGCAG